TTTTTTCCACATCATCACTTTTTTATTATATTATCTTCCACGTGGATTACTATATGGACATGTCATTATGTTCCCGTTAGTTAACAGTACACGTCACTGGATTTTTAAAGGAAAGACCAAATCGGGGTAAAAATGGTAAACAGTAGGGACCAAATCAGGGATTTTTTTAGTTCAGGGACTAAATCGGGGGTCCGTACAATAATTCAGGGACCAAAAAGGGGTTTTAACCTTCTATTTTCTATTTTGTGTCAACACGTAAGCCGAAGTGTTAGCACCACGCGATCAGCATCCAAAATTCAGTTTCCTATTTCTATTCCAAGTCCTACTTCTATTTCAATTAGGGTTTTTAAAATTCTATAAATACTCATCCAAATTCAGAATTATGAGAGTTTTGAGAGGCTAGTGGCAGCCCTCTTTTGGGCATTATTGAAGATCAAGATTGAAATTCCATCAACAATAGAAAATTAAGGGGTTCGATTTTCTCAAATTGAGTTTTGTTTTTCCTTGGGTTTTTATCTATTGTTTGATTTTTGAATGTTCATAACTTTGATTTCATATTTTATTATTTTTATTATGAACTGATTTATTCTACTAGGGTTACGATGTAGCCTAATCAATTCAGTATGGATTTAGTGATTTTATGCTTTCAATTAAAGTTATTTGCATGAGGAGTTTATATTATTGAACTTAATGCATTGGAAGTCTGATCACCTTTCAATTGATTTAGTGATTTATGCATGAACTTGAGAAAGAATTACGTAAATTAGACTAATAATAATATAAACCGTGTGCTAGACTATGAGACCGAGAGGTAATTAGCTCACATGTGGTAGTGGAGGAAGAGAAGAGAGTTAGGAGCTCCCCCTTCTTAAGCTAGAGGTTTTCATAGAATTTCATGCTCATAAGTTTGTTTAAAATTATATAGAGATATGATTAATTTAACAAACAAGTGAAGGATTAACTTGACTTGAAAAAACTAGTTAATTAATTTAGGGAAATCCGTCATCACATGCAATAACACTCAACAATTTGGTAATCCAGAATTTATATTGATTGATTATGGTGAAGTCAATGCCTTAGTACCTCATATCTTGGTTAGGTTTAATTTAATTGTTATTTTCCTTTTATTATTTTTTTTAGTTAAACTTTCTTCCCATTTGGTTGTCCAAATAAATTTGGATTAATTATTTTGGTACTTAGTTAGACACAATCCTCGTGGGTTTGACACTCTTCTTATCATTATATTACTTGGGGCGACTAGTACACTTGCTAGGGTGGTTTTATTGCATCAAGTTTTTGGCGCCGTTGCCGGGGATTGTTGATTTAATTAATATCGAAGTTGGTTAATTCTAGATTTAATTTGAACATTTTCTTTTATTTC